AAGATATGATACGTGCCAATTACCCTCAGCTTTTTGAGTCTAAAGGTATGAGTTAATTTCGAGGACGAAATTTTTTTTTTAGGAGGGTAGATTGTGAAAACCCACATTTTATTATTTTTAAAAGAAGATAAATAAATAAATTAATTAATTTTATCCAGAGTCTATCTAAAATATGTATTACTGTAAAACTTAGTTTTAAATTAATCCAATTCAATCACTAACAAAGAAAAAAAAAATTAATAATAAAAAAAAAAAAATAAAAAAAAATAAAAATTAATAATAATTTTTGTGGGTGTTCAATATTTGTTGTTTATAAATTATTTTAATTAGGATTCAATATAATAATTATTCTTACTAAATACCTTAGTTAAAAATCTTAGTGTGTCAATTTTCAGAAACAACACACAAAAAAAAAAAAAAAAAAAGGGAATCAAACCTTTGCAGAATTTTGGTGGAGGCTTTCCACATGTTGATTTGCATGCTTGTTTAGGGAAAAGAGCTAATGATGCTCTTTGAATTAGAGAAAGAAAACTTAGAATGAAGAGAAAGAGAGAGAGAGAATGAGAGGAGAGAAAGATGTCTTCAACTAGCATTTATATATATATATTATGCATGCAAGCCTTCTTTGTGCATGCAAGCATTCGGTAGAAGAAAAAAAAAAAGAGAGGAGAGAAATTCTTAAGCAACCAAGCTTAGTGATAGGAGAGGAAGAAGAGTAGGAGATTAAGGAAGCCAAAATTCTCAACCTTTTGTCACCCTATTACTAAGTAAGAAAACCCTCTCAACCCTCTCATTTCTTTTATAGTGAAATTTTCAGATTACTTCCTTGTGATTTAAATGACTACTCATAAATAGAAATTTATAATATATGGTAGGAATTTTGTGATCAAAATAGTCTGTTTTGAATATGCTAGCATGTTGCCTGAATTTTTAGACAATTTTATACTCAGAATTTCGAGATGATTTCTTCTACAAAGTTGTTGATAATGATTCTAGTTTATCCAAAAAATTTTGGAAACAATTTTCGAGCTTTCTACGAATTATACAAATTTTTAACTAAATCTGAAACTGTGTTTGAGAATAATCTGTTTTGAATCTGCCATCATGTTTACCCGAATTTTTAGATAATTTTATACTCAAAATTTCGAGATGATTTCTTCTACAAAGTTGTTGATAATGATGTCTAATTTATCCAGAAATTTTTGGAAAACACTTTTTGAGCTTTCTTTCGAATTTATACAAATTTTTAACTAAATCTGAAACTGTGTTGAGAATAATCTGTTTTGAATCTGCCAGCATGTTTACCCGAATTTTTAGATAATTTTACACTCAAAATTTTGAGATGATTTCTTCTACAAAATTATTGATGATGATGTCTAATTTATCTAGAAATTTTTAACATTTTTTGAGCTTTCTACGAATTTATACAAATTTCTAACTAAATCTGAAACTGTGAGACAGATTTTACCATGTATTTGAAAATTTATTTAAAATTCTATACTAAGCCAAATTTGGTAATTTCTAACTAAAAGAGAAATTTGAGAAGTCTAGTTTCATGATAAAATTTTTAGATTATGGGTTTGATCTATAAATTTAAGCATGGAATTAATGTAAGGAAATGTGACAAATCTGTGTCATAAAGATTGCTGGAAATTTTACAGGATTATTTACATCTTATTTTTCTGAAATTCTTTCTGAAAAGTGACCTAAACATCCACATTGAGTATTCTGTTCAATTGCACGAATTTTAGGATTGTGTAAATAATTTATTTATAATTTTAATATCTAAGTTATTATGTTCATACCATTGTTTAAATTAATTGTCTGTTAAATTTTGGACATTAAATTATTATTGTGTGACATGTATAATGTTTTATGTTTTAGTTGGTATAACATTATTAGTGATTGAGATTTGAATAATTTGTGTTCAATATATGAAGTTACTGATAAAGGATTAATACTAGTTGTTCAGGGTGAGTCTTGGTTTTAAAGAGTGTACGAAATTAAGAGTTGACGGTTAACACCGGTTGTTCAGGGTGAGCCCTGGTTTTGAGAATTCTCACGTAAATTGTGTTGCGGAACTCTAAGATGGCACGAGACTTATTTGACCCCTTTTCGGTATTCGGTTTTGGAATAAGGGTGGATGTGCAGGTGGCATACAGGGAGGTTACTTACCCCTAGCAGACCGTTTCCTTGGGGGCAAACCACGGATGCCACTACTTGGGTATATAACTCCGGATGTGGGCATCCCTGGTAGTTACGGTTGGTAACACTTAAATATTTGACCAAGGGAGGGTTTCAAATTAACCGTTGCCATGCTTAGTGGTTGGTAAGTTAAATCTCTTTGGTGAGATTTCGAGTGTCACCTAATTTATTAAAATTATTGAAATTATTCTAATGGTTGTAATTTATGTTTACAATTATATTGTTATCTCATGTTTAGAACCTCATTATTTTTCTCTTAAAAAGAATGGTAGGTTGGCTATGTTTTCTTACTGTGTTGCAAAACTCATGGCATATATTTTTGTTGCCCTGGCGTTTTATGCCAGGTTTTGGCGAGGAAATAATTGAAGCTGAAATGAAGTTGACGCTAATGTAGAGCCTTGGCTGACTTGAAATCATAGCTAAAGTCGAATAACTTTATTATCCTATATATCAGCTATTAAGGACCTTATAATTTCATTGATGTTGTATTTGGATAATATTAAGTTTTTATTTAATATTATTTGAACCTTTGGTTATGTACGAGAGTTGGAATGCCCTATTAAGATGTCAACTTTTTAGTTTATTAAGTCATTTTGTTTATTTAATTTCCCTTGATGTTTCAAAAAAAATTTTGGGACGTCACAGAAGGAGGTGACATAGATGAAGGTTGGAAGGGAGATTGAGATGAAGGAGATAGAGATGATATTAGAAAAATAGTGAGGGGATTATAATTTTTTTTATTTTTTATATATTGGGAATTTTTTTTAAAAATATTAATGTTTAATTTTTTATATTTTTTTATTTAAAAATAATTTAACAATTTCTACACTACCAACTATCATCAAAACAAACATAATTTTACTTAATCCCCTCACTATTAATCTCTTTCTTTCTATCTCTGAAAATAAATGAAATCTAAAGAAAAATAAGTGAGAATATTAATTAGTGTCACTACTAATAATATGGCAATAAATCCCATCTATTATCACAATGTTTTTTTTTTTAATTAATGAATGCCATATGTGATTGTTCTAGAGCATTTTTAGTGGTGTCCATCATTGCACCCACTCCCTATCATTGCCCCACTTTAAGCTAGTGATTCGAACACTGAACCAACCCCTATCGGCGAAGAAGATTGATTCAGTAACATGAGATATATAAATGAATGTTGATTGGTGAGTGAATAAGGCACGCCATACGCCGGAACTATTGTATAATTTTTCAAATAAAACAGACATCACATTCGTCGAATTACAGTGGGGATGTAATCTAGGACGATGGACATCCAAATCCCAACGGATCTGATCCGGCAAGTCCAGACCTCGCTGCGGGAGGACGCCGGTCTCTCCTCCTACGACCCGCACGATCCGACCCTCCCCGCCCTCTCTTCGCTCCGCGAATTGGTCGCCGGATTCGATCCGTCGCCGCCTTACCTGCGGTGCAAGCATTGCAACGGCAGGCTTATGAGAGGGGTGCAATCGATGATATGCGTGTACTGTGGCAAAAACCAGTCCAAGGACCTTCCTCCTCAGCCAATTATCTTCAAATCCACATTTGGGTATCAATGGTTGCTTCAGTCTTTGGACTTAGATGGATCGGCAAGTGTCTATCTACTCTCTCTCAATTACATGTGCAAGTATTTTTAGCTGGTTTTTTTTTTATGGGTATAATTATGTAAAATTGTCCAGTTTTGCAAATTTCGCATTGGGGTTAATGGGAAGATTGCAGTTTTTAGGGTTCATTATAAATAAGGGAAACCAACTATGTGAAAACCGGATTCAAGCATAAATTCTGAGTGAAAGCTTCAATAATGGAAGAATGGTCGATGTGTTCAAAATTTTGAGTAAATATTTGAGTCTCCCTTGATTTGGGTAAAATTTTTGAGCAAAATTCAATTTAAAATAAGGTTTGAGTCAAAGAGTGGAGGTAGCATTGAGTGATTTTTACTGCGAATTTAAATTTGATATACACATAGGTTTGAGTCAAGATTTGAGATATTGCGGTGGAAAAGAAATGGTGCATTTGTTTTTTGGTTATTTCTGTTTAGAATGAATACAAATTGAAAATTTGAAGTTGGTGGGTTGTTGTTGGTCAAAAATTTTGGGAATGAGCTTATTTTACTGTGGGTGTTTTGGGTTTTCAATTTGAGTTTTTTCTGCGGTGATGATTTCCATGTTGTGGAACAGTGATGAATACACATGATGCTGCTAGCAGGATAGTTACGACACTGCTTTATTTGCTGGAGATTAGGAAATGTAATACTCAATCAATTGCTTAGCATCAGTAGTGTTATAACTCACCCCTGAACTCTCTCGTTTTGCAGCCTACTCTTTAATATTATGGCCATGATTCATTTATTTTCATGAAAATTAATTCGGTACATTTTAACCTCTGAGAATGTTAGTAAATACTATTGACATAGCCTATTGCCGACTTTAACACCACATACATTTTTAACACGCCTTTTGATGCGTGACTTTGTGACATGTCTGTAACAAAATCCTTTGGATTTTTTTTCTTGTTCATTTAGGTTTTCTGTATCATTGTATTGTCGCCTAGCAATGTTTAGGATTACTAAAATTTGTGTTTAGATTGAGCATATAGAATTCATGAGAGACCTTTAGTATAATCCAAAATAATTTTATTATTTTTTAAAGTTGCTAGGTCTAAAGTATATAGATAAAAATGGCATGTGCATTGATCAAGCTTTGTGAAGTTTAAAGGATTGTATTTGTGTAGATTGACACAATTAGTGGAGATCTGGAAGTACAAATGAGAGATTGGACAGACATGGATGCAGTTCTACAAAGCCCGTCTTATAATTTTTAAGGGCAAAACAATAATTTCATTAGATAAATGGATGGTAACAGTAAGTTTCATTCAAGACTCAATTCCTTCTTAAAGCTCAACCCATTGAGGTCCATTTACACAAGTGCACAAACAATAATACCAAGGCCCCTGACTTGAATATGGTGGATAAGGGAATCCTGTACTTCCCTTTCCCGAATAGCCCTTTCAAATATGACCAGAAGCACAACACTACATACACACTACACATGACCTCCCCTACCCCTGACCCATCTCCACTGCTAGCCACCAATCGGAACCCTAACAATCTGACGGCCAACGCTGTCAAATTCACCAACAAAACAGTGGTGCCGGGTATGAAAATTGGGGACTCGTCGAATGTGAACCTTCCGGCATTAGCTTCGTTGTCGTCATTGCCAGTTGACTGGTCCTTTTGGGTTACTTCAAACACTGTGTCTGATAGTCCTAAGAGCTTCAGTATAACACTGAAAGTTCCGAGCAACCATGCACTCATGGCTGTTACTCTCAACATTCTTTGATTGTTCCACCATGCCCTGGTTGAGAGGCCGGTTCGAAGGTACTCCCACAGGGTGTAGAGGTTGTATATGATAAAAAGGTCTACAGGTATCTGTAAGGCTGTAAGACAAGCAGTGAAGACGATGATTCGTTTGGTGTTTGGAATGATTTTACAAGCTCTACTAGTGCACAAAATCCTTCTAAGAATTCTTTGACACAACGTGGTAATCAGATTGCCACTACTGATGAAAAGACATCAGATATAATTTTTCCCAGCTCAACCAACAACTTTCAAGCAATGAATTTTGGTAGTTTTTCACAACCAGATCTCTTTTCTGGATCATTTAGCAATCAAAATGGTTCTTTTGAAGTGAATAATACACAGTCAGGAGTCCCTGCCTTGGACAGGTGTGTTCTCTCAGAATGCTTTTGTTTTGGTGTGTGTGTGTGTGTGTGGTTAAAATTCCATTTCTCCATCAAGTTTTCAACAAATTGCTATAAGAGCTTGTTAGAATGGATCTTCGAGAACTCTATTTAGGTCTAGAGTGCATCAGCTTCTTGTTTTGCATATCCAAGTTTTTCTTTCTTTCTTTTTTTAAATCTTTGCTTGTCTTTTGCTTTGCATTCCTGGTATCAACAAATAAATTCACGAGGTTGAAATCAATTTCTCAATATAGTTTTGGATTTCCTGTGAGTTGAACTTATCAGCTTTATCTTTTATGTACTTAATGCATGTTTAGGATGGCTGATGTAAAAGTTGAAGGAGTGACTGTTGGACAAGCAGATGAAGGCGGAGATATGTTCAACTCAGCTGTACAGTCCAAGGACGACGTGGAGAGTCTGTTGTCACAGATGCATGATCTTTCTTTCATGCTCAAGAGCAATCTTTCAGTCCCCTCAAAGTAAAATTTTCTAACATTTTCAATATATTATGACCCACTTTTTAGTTCTTTGAACTTTTATTATGCAGTTGTTCATTATTCCATATGTATTCCAGTTTATGGCCTTGTATCCTGTCGGCCTCACAGAGACTTATTGTAATTCACCTTAGGCCTTGATGCTATGTATAGAAATTTAGCAATCAGATTGGCAGTAGGTTCATTGCTTTGATTCAAAATTGCTGACTCAATCAATTGCTTAGCATCAGTAGTGTTATAACTCACCCCTGAACTCTCTCGTTTTGCAGCCTACTCTTTAATATTATGGCCATGATTCATTTATTTTCATGAAAATTAATTCGGTACATTTTAACCTCTGAGAATGTTAGTAAATACTATTGACATAGCCTATTGCCGACTTTAACACCACATACATTTTTAACACGCCTTTTGATGCGTGACTTTGTGACATGTCTGTAACAAAATCCTTTGGATTTTTTTTCTTGTTCATTTAGGTTTTCTGTATCATTGTATTGTCGCCTAGCAATGTTTAGGATTACTAAAATTTGTGTTTAGATTGAGCATATAGAATTCATGAGAGACCTTTAGTATAATCCAAAATAATTTTATTATTTTTTAAAGTTGCTAGGTCTAAAGTATATAGATAAAAATGGCATGTGCATTGATCAAGCTTTGTGAAGTTTAAAGGATTGTATTTGTGTAGATTGACACAATTAGTGGAGATCTGGAAGTACAAATGAGAGATTGGACAGACATGGATGCAGTTCTACAAAGCCCGTCTTATAATTTTTAAGGGCAAAACAATAATTTCATTAGATAAATGGATGGTAACAGTAAGTTTCATTCAAGACTCAATTCCTTCTTAAAGCTCAACCCATTGAGGTCCATTTACACAAGTGCACAAACAATAATACCAAGGCCCCTGACTTGAATATGGTGGATAAGGGAATCCTGTACTTCCCTTTCCCGAATAGCCCTTTCAAATATGACCAGAAGCACAACACTACATACACACTACACATGACCTCCCCTACCCCTGACCCATCTCCACTGCTAGCCACCAATCGGAACCCTAACAATCTGACGGCCAACGCTGTCAAATTCACCAACAAAACAGTGGTGCCGGGTATGAAAATTGGGGACTCGTCGAATGTGAACCTTCCGGCATTAGCTTCGTTGTCGTCATTGCCAGTTGACTGGTCCTTTTGGGTTACTTCAAACACTGTGTCTGATAGTCCTAAGAGCTTCAGTATAACACTGAAAGTTCCGAGCAACCATGCACTCATGGCTGTTACTCTCAACATTCTTTGATTGTTCCACCATGCCCTGGTTGAGAGGCCGGTTCGAAGGTACTCCCACAGGGTGTAGAGGTTGTATATGATAAAAAGGTCTACAGGTATCTGTAAGGCTGGGTCTCCGACCTGCATGAACAAAACATAAGGATGTTACTAGAATTTTAGCAAATAGGTTGACTCATCTAGCTTGACCAAATGATGATAAATGAAATTTTGGTCAGTTGAGGTTCAATAGGTGCTGTACAACTCATTAAATGCACCATCACCCAATTGGGTTTGATCATCAACTAGATTAAGGATCTGTTCACCTTGGGCAAGAAGCGTGAGTTAGTGTTGATACAATAGGCTGGCAGAATAGCGTAACACAGCTCAGGTAAGGAACGTAGTCCCCACAGTAAAATCCACATGTAGGCGAGGGATTGGCGAAACTGGAGGCTCCCTTTGAGGGTAAGAATGAGTGGGCTTTTTGGGCTGAAGAAGATTTCAAGGAGGCCAGTGGCCCACCTCTTCTTTTGGATCAACGATACCGGCCCACTAGAGGGTGCACAGCCTAGAAATGCAGGTGGGTCAGGTGAACAATAGGCTGATCTCCAGCCCCTCCCATGGATAGTGAGTCCTGTGAGCATATCTTCTGATGTAGATCCATAAATCAAACCAACCTGGAATCAGAATGTATTTTAAGATTTAAAAAACTTTGGATTTCTTTTGTGACAAATTTGATTAGGAATGACCACCTGTGTGGTGCAGGGCAGTGTGGGGTTTGTGGTATTCCATCCTTGTCTCATTAGGAGAAATCGGGGAGGTGGAGGTGCTAGGTAATTTGCCACCCGTAAAGGGGACGATACTAATAAGAAAGATGATATGACATATGGTGGATAATGATTGATTTGTTATAAAAATTAAAGAAGAGAGATAGATAGATGAAAATAAGAGATATTATTAACATTTTGATAATTTAATTTTATTACATTTAATAAAGTACGTCCCATTCCGGTTTCTTATAAACTAGGGTGGGGAAACTTGCACGGAAGGGACATGGGCTTGGGATGGAGGCATGGGAAATCGCCATCCTTCAATTAAATTTAATGGGGGTGAGTTGTTTTTTTTTTTTCTCTTATAGTTTTATGAAATTAACAAAATAATAAAAATAAACAGAAATGTGTGTCACCTCTCTACCCCATCGGGTACCATACTCATAGCTGCAGCCAGCAACTTGGTAGGCTGCATCAATGGAATTTGACAGATCATGTGGCTGTGGTTGTTGTGAACTAGCAGTCTTCAAGCCTGATGATAAAATCTGAGCCGCTGATTTTGTGAGTTCCATTGATCTTCCAAAGATTTCTTGTAAAGCCTCATTGCTTAATTTCCCTAACAATAATATAAAAAAGAATAATAAAAATAAATAGGGTTGGTCCAAGTCTTTCAATATTTCTAGGTGCAAAATTGAAATTCATATTCATGTAGTACACATACAAAGAAGAAAAACACTATGAGGAATTGTAATTTATAACTGAGAAAATTTATAGGAATTTTAAAAAAAATAAAAATAAAATAGTTGTTCTACTTGCAAAGTAATCTTTCACAAGAAAGGATCATGGAATAGAAAAAGGGCGAGTCTCACTATTTGTGTTTCAAAAAAAATAAATAGTAAGTGTGTTTTTAAAAATAAATTAGTCCAGATCATCGAAATGAGACTGGGCTGGATAAAGATTTAGGTCCAAAAAAAAAGTAGGAAGGGACTATCAAAGGTAATAATATTTTTTAGACATATTTAAAGAAATCTTTACTCGCTAAAAAATTGACAGGAGTAACCTAGACGAGCCAACAAAGTATGAGGAATCAGAGATGCTCCCTCAAGACAAGTTTATAAACAAGTTTAAACTATAACTTGACCCCAATTTTAACATAATTCTAGCCAACATGTTATTGTAATAAGAAATATAGGTTGGTTGACTTACCATTAATAATATCTTTGTCATCTGGTGATAAGCCATAAATAACTTTTCGTCTATGAAAACATCCTGTTCCTGAATAGTTTGGTCCTTGAATCCCTACTATTCCACTTATTACACACTGATCATTCACACATTTATAAGAAAAAAAAGTTTGACCTGTTATCACACAGTATGACTTCTAGCAAAGTGTTCTTATATGGATATATAACATTGAAAATGCTCATATATATATATATATATATATGAGCAAAACAAGCCACGAATCAAAGTTTACCAATTAAATACAGTACTTTGTCTGAAAAAGAAATATTGAAGCAACAGCAGCATCAAATATAATCATAATCAAAAACAAAATCATTAAGGTAGTTGGAGGATCTCCAACGCTTTATCAAAATTTTCATCAAATTTGAATAAAAATTTAATGAAAATTTGATCTGATATGATGCATTTTAATTGTTTCATCAAATCTGGCAGGTTTAGAGTAAATTTTCCCAAAACCGATTGTCCGGGAGGTCATCCACCCGGTTGTCTACCAACGGTCACTTGGAAAATTTGATGAAAGGATAAACGCTTCATTTGAAAAAAAAAGTACTGCTTCATTCTTTTGATATCAACACGATAAAACAATTGGAGTACTGTTTTCATCAATTTTTTATCAAATTTAAATTTGATGAAAGATCTGATGAAACTTAAGAGATGACTTTAAATATGAGTTTGTATTGTTACTGACATCAAAATAATAAGTATTAAAATCTCTGGACAATAAGAAACGACTATTGTGTAGATATAGGGTTATTTTAGAGTTGGATACCCCAACCCAAGTCAAGTCCATTTATAACCCTCAAAAGGCTTAATTTTCATCTTCTTGTTGCGCATTTTCTTCACCGTCCTCCCTGAAAAGGAAAATTTCCAGGTACTCCTCATCTTTCCACTTGTAAGTGGAGAGTGAAACCAGACTTTCAACAAACAAAGCAGCATCATAATTGAAACTCCAACTAAGTGGGATTTTTTTAGTCCCAACTCACTTCCAATTCACTTGCTAAACGGCAGCTAAGCTTTGTTAAGTCATTAATTTAGTCCAACTGATAAGAACTATTAAAAATTGAACAATATCAAAGGTGAAATGATCAATTCAAAAGAGAATCGACTATTTAAATTGGATATTATCCCATCAATCTCTTTAGTGAGAGTAAATAGACTATCTTAATTCTTGATTTTAGTCAAATTTCTAAAAAGATGCTATTATTAGTTGGACTAAATTGATACAATGTGAAAATTTTTAAAGTAAAATTTATACAATTAAAACTATGGGAGACTAATACTGTGTTTGGTTAGGGGATTTGGAGAGGGGATTTGGAAAGAAAAATGAAAAAGGTAAGTGAAATGTGAATAAAACATGTTTATATTTCACCTAGTTTCACACACCTTTTCCTTTCCAAATCCCTCCTCAAATCCCCCAACCAAACACAACATAAAGGAAAATTCTAATATACACCCATTTAAAAAGGATGTATCATATGCACCCATAGTTATGACATTTTTTTCTTTAGTTATAACATTATATATTTTAGTAATGATTCATGAGTTCTTTAGTTATACCTTACGTTGTGTTTAGTAATGACATTTTTTTTTATAAAAATTATGACTCAAAAAATTAAAATTATGTCATTTTTTTTTAATTATAAGGTGCAGCACACTATAGCGTTTCCCGAGACTAAATTAACACAAAATGCACGAGTTAATTTGTCCTATGTTGTTTATAGAATAATACGAGTAATAAATTAATAATACACAAATAAAATTCTGTACTCACGTTTTTTTTCCGGAAAGATGTGACTGTTTATCTTCATTTCATTTCTAACTAAAAAGAAACACCTTTTAAGTATGACTTAAAATCTTCATAATGTTATTACTATCGCTTCATTTTGATTGAGTTTTTTTTTTTTTTTTTTAATAATAAAAGTACTGTTTTGCAATTGGTAATTATAGAAGAAGATTTGAATTTGCTCACTTCTTGTAAAACCACAAACTGATTTCCAAAAGGGTCGTCCTTCAATCCATCATAGTAGATTTGGGGAAACTGAACAAATGCGGTGTCCCTTTCGTTGTTGTTGGCACCCAAAAACAAACACATTGCGTGCAGAACCATTTGGGGATTGTTGACATACATATCACAGTCCACATTCAGCATCAATGGAGCATTTGTCATCACTCCTGATACTCTTCCCTGTTGTTAGTCACACCACAATTCTAAGCTTTTAAAAAAGTGAGTTTTATTATATAGACAGGGCACACAAATAACATAATTAGATTTTAATATTTTCAAAATAACAAAATCAATAATGTTGTGTTTGGTTGGGGGATTTGGGGAGGGATTTGGAAAGGGAAATGGAAAGGTAGGTGAAATGTGAATAAAACATTCATATATTTCACCTAGTTTCACACACCTTTTCCCTTTCCCTTTCTAAATTCCTCCCCAAATCCCCCAACCAAACACAACATAAAGATATTCTTACCAGAACATTCATAGCACCAGCTTTGAAATGATGAGAATGCTTTGGATGTTTATCTCTGGATATATAGATTAAATGAGGCACTCCATTTGCAATGCCTTTCTTGTTCTCCCATATGACCTAAGATAATATACGATGAGATCAAACATAATTCACAAACAAACTTATTGGTCCTTTTTAATATATTTATCATTCATGAAAAAAAATCAAATTAATCGGAAATGCATACCCCATTTTCAGATCCTATTTTTAAAAAAACAAATTATCAAAATCATGCTAGCCGTTTATATTTTTTAAAAACAAATGTAATTTTGTTATGAGGCTACAAATATCAAATTAATTTAATTTTTTCCAGTGATGATCTATTCAATAAATTTATAATATGAATAGTTCAAATGATCGAAATAGGCTCAGAACAAAACCTCCCATAAACGTCAGAGCACAAATTAATGAAGTACCTTAATGATAGAAGCATGGTTTTTGCGTTGTACATTAGCAAAATCAGCGAAGTTCCCACTAAGTTGACAAGGCATGTCCCTTTTGGATGCATCTTCTATTTTTTGGCTAAGTTGTTCATATTCATCCTACACAACCCAATACAACACAAACAAACAGATGATGAACACAAAGATTATTGGCCCTCATGATATATGCAACAAACAGTTTTTCTAATTTTGCTTCTCCATATTTTAATTGTTTCATTTTCATCCTAACGTATTGAATGTGTGTTAAAAATAATTTCTATGACTAACATCGTTAATATTCATTGTCAGAATCATATTTTTTAAATAAAAAATTACACCTTAGTCGAAAAAAAATCATTTACAAATTCATACAATTGAAATGTTGAGGAGCGAAAAACAATACAAAGTGTATACTTTCGCGACTAAAAATGTAATTTACTTTTTTTGTTTTTTTTTTCTTTTTTGGTTCCAAAATACTCTTAATTCTAACTATAAATATTGACAACTTCACAATTTGGGACCACAATACTCTTAATTCTTATGATAAGTATTGACGACTACAATAATTGGGACTCATTAAACACTCATTTAATATAAGGATATAATTGACGGATTTGAGCCATTTGAGCCACAAAATTTTGAGTTACCAAACATTTTCCAATAATAAAATGCAATACACAGACCCAAAAGCATAATTAGGCCAAAAAATTCATTAAAACCTGTAATTGAGATTGGAGGAATAATTTTCTTTTTTTCACATTTGGTAGAAGGTGTATTAGAGGAATACCATATTCAAATCCAGAGATCACATGTTAAAATTACCTTAATCTTTTTCCAATCTTGTTGGAACTGGGGTGAAACATCCTGAGATGAAACAGGCTCACAAGAGAAGAATCGAAAGGGAGCTCTGACTTGAATTGAATATTTTTTACAGAAAGGAACCCATAGCTGGGCGAATTTAGAAGCTTCCAGAAGAGAGTAGAAGGTGAGAGGGGAACATCCATCGTCAGAGACATAGCAAGCCAACTTATCAGCTGGGTAATCTACTGCTAACAAGGATAGCACCGTGTTCACTGTCAGGATAGGTGGTTCCAGAATAGGGTCTGCTGTTGTAACAAATATGTCTACTGAAGGTAGCTCAGGCTTCCTATTTCACTCACCAAAAAAAACCCAAACATGTCATTATGGACATAGTGAAGAATAACATAAATTAACAAAAAAAAGAGATAGAAAGACCAAATTAAAATTAGATTTAAAAGTATACGGACCAAATTATTAAAATTAAAATTATAGGGTCTAAAGTAAAATTTAAGTCATGCTACAAAACAAACCAGATTTAAAAATAAATCAAAACAAAGTAAAACATGTGATGGACATCGTGAAGAAGAAGAATGAATAAACCAATAGTACGAATATACCATTGCAAGAGATTTTGAGGGTATGTTTTGTAGTCAACTTGGTTCCATTTAGTGCTGACAGTGAGAAGCCAGATGAAAGTGAAGCATGACTCGCACAAAAACGCTAAGAGCCAACTGAGTCCATGATCTTTGAAAGAGAGGAGACGATAAACTAAGAGAGAGAGGAGGAGGAAGAGGATTGTAAGAATTTATGTATTATTGATTGTTATTGATTGTGATTGTTACAAGCTATTATATAGGAGAGGTGTGAGGTAAGTGAGTGGTGGTAGTGGATGGTAGTGGAGGTGGTGGGTGGTAGTGGAGATGGTAAGTGTGTTAGGTTTAGTGGGGTGGATGTAGTGGGTTAGGTTAGTGGGTTAGGTTTAGTGTACATTAACAGCCCCCCTCAAACTCAAGGAGGATAGGAACTAACCAACTTGAGTTTGAAGAGAGTAACAAAACAGAAAAGTAAACTGATAAATAAAAAACAAAACAGGATAGGAGACACGGTATGGTCGTGTCGGACCGTTGTAGCAGACAGTTTACGGGGTCATGTCGGACCGGTGTAGAAAACAGGAAGTTCCTCTAATCAAGTCTTGCCTCAAGGGAGGTTGGTGTAGTTTTCCCCTTTTTTTTTTTTTTTTTTTTTTTTTTTTTTTTATAATTGCCAATCGCCACCTGTTATTTGAAAAGAAAAATATATATCTATTTTTGATATTTTTTAAATATAGAAATTATTTTTTTAGAGCAAAATGATAAATTATTTTTTTGAATTGAATTTTAAAAAGAGTTTGGTTATGATTTTTAAATAGAATTTTCAATAGAGTTTTGAATTGTGTGTTTGATTATGAGTTATAAGTTTTAAAAACTCTTCTCAAAACTCATAACCACACAACTTTTCTCATTTCATATGTTACATCAAAAAAATTGGAGGGTGTTGTTTGAGTTCGTAGAGTTCATCACGGTTCTGTTTTGATAATCTAAATTATTCATTTTATTAGGCATTTTGTGTATATCATTCATACAAAAAAATAGGTCGATCTAATACTCCTAACGTATTTATCACGTTTGTCACAAAAACATAAATAACATGTTTTAATTTTTTTTTTTTGTGTGTAAAAAATATAAATTGAATATGTTACGATTATCAAATCGATTAAATTTTTATGTACGTATGATGTAATGAAACGATTGACAAAATAAATAATTTAAATCATTAAAATAAAATCAAAAATAAGTTTGATCGCTCTTTTTTTTTTTTGGATACAAAATGAGTTTGATCGCTCAAATAATATCCTCCAATCTAATTATATGAACGGAAGGAAATCTTTCTTAAAAAAATGAATCTGTTTTTTTATGATGGGCGGTGGACAGTGTACTAAACAAAAAAAAAATTAAAATTTAAAATTATTAATACATGCATTGAGAATTTTAAATGCAAAACGCAACCACATCATATGTGGATGTGATATTATTAGAGATTGTGAGGCTGCAATTTTGAGAATCTTACAAAGTTCTTTTCCATAAAGTTACGCGAGGGATCTATCAGATGACATGGGGTCTTTTGGGAAGGTGTTTAAAAAGTCAATTTTTTGATTTTTTAATTTTTTAGTTAAAAAAATTAGTTTTTTTACTTAAAATAATTTAGTTTTTTGTCCAAAAAAAAAAAGTCATTAAAAAAAGTTAAAAAATTAATTTTTTATCAATTTTTTAAAACACCACATAGAGTTAGTTTAGTGAATGGATTGACTTTCTAACTTTTTAGTTGTTTAGTTTGGGGTTAAAAAATCTCGTTTAGGAAGAATTTTTTGACTTTTTGTGAGAGAAAGAATGTAATAATTATGAGTTGAATGTGACATTTTATCTTATTAGACTAAAGAGTCTATTTTATTTTTTTTGATTAAAATAAACTCAAATTCAACCCAACCTAAATTGCCAAACGAAGGCATAATAACGAGGAACCATCCTGTCCAAATTTTGGGTGAGAGGGAGTTGTTTTGTTCGTGGAGTCTATTACGAGTTTTATTTCGATAATTTAAATTGTTTATTTTATTGAGTATTTTATATATTTTATTTATAAAAAAATAGATCAATTTGATAATTATAACTTGTTTAATTTATCACATTTTTAACCAAAAATTTATAATTTATTTTTAAAAACATAATTTTTTTGACTAAAAACTTAATAAATTGAACAAGTTACCATTATTAGATCAACTTGATTTTTTGTATGAATAAAATATATAAAATATTTGACAAAATAAATAATTCAAATTATTAAAACAAAACCCATAATAAATCTTACATGCCCAAAGTGTGTCTTCCAATCTTTTTGTAGTCAACTTGGTTCCATTTAGTGCTGACAGTGAGAAGCCAGATGAAAGTGAAGCATGACTCGCACAAAAACGCTAAGAGCCAACTGAGTCCATGATCTTTTAAAGAGAGGAGACGATAAACTAAGAGAGAGAGGAGGAGGAAGAGGATAATGAGTTCGACAGCTCGAGCTATGTTGTTTTTCCGAGCGACTCGTTCGTAGAGGGGTAAAGAAATAGGGTTGGTCATTCAGAGAAACAAGAGGTTTATGCTTTCAATGTTCTTAATAGAGAGAGAGAGAGAGAGAGTTTGTAAATGGAGGAGAGCTTTGTGCCTTCTTGTTATGGTTATTTAAAAGAGAGTTTGCAAATGGAGGAGAGCTTTGTGCCTTCTTGTTGAGGTTATTTTATTACGTTCTCTAATTTTGAATTCATAACCAATTTCTAATGATTTGGCAAGTACTCATTGGATATATTTTATGTTCAGAGTAGATTAAGACCATTAAAAAACAGATCACTAACGGTTCTAATGAGTTAGAAAATATAAAACAAAAAAAAAATCTTAATAAGAGGTTGATTTGGGGTCCAAAACATTTTCTTTATATTATACCAGTGGTATAGATGTTGTATTTTAAATTCCTCTATTCCTTGTTGCAAATAACTTGTGGGTACATATTTCGAAATTTAATTATTTAAAAAAAAAATATTCACATAATTTAACAATTTTGAGAATTTTAAAATATAACTACAAAAGATTTAAAAATTAAGATTCGAACAAGTTGACTCGAACTACAAAGTGTTTGAACTTAACTCGTTGGACATTTGTCAAAGCTCAAACAAGTGCAAAATTGAGAAGCCCTAATTATATGAACGGAAGGAAATCTTTCTTAAAAAAATGAATCTGTTTTTTTATGATGGGCGGTGGACAGTGTACTAAACAAAAAAAAATTAAAATTTAAAATTATTAATACATGCATTGAGAATTTTAAATGCAAAACGCAACCACATCATATGTGGATGTGATATTATTAGAGATTGTGAGGCTGCAATTTTGAGAATCTTACAAAGTTCTTTTCCATAAAGTTACGCGAGGGATCTATCAGATGACATGGGGTCTTTTGGGAAGGTGTTTAAAAAGTCAATTTTTTGATTTTTTAATTTTTTAGTTAAAAAAATTAGTTTTTTTACTTAAAATAATTTAGTTTTTTGTCCAAAAAAAAAAAGTCATTAAAAAAAGTTAAAAAATTAATTTTTTATCAATTTTTTAAAACAACACATAGAGTTAGTTTAGGGAATGGATTGACTTTCTAACTTTTTAGTTGTTTTAGTTTGGGGTTAAAAAGTCTCGTTTAGGAAGAATTTTTTGACTTTTTGTGAGAGAAAGAATGTAATAATTATGAGTTGAATGTGACATTTTATCTTATTAGACTGAAGAGTCTATTTTATTTTTTTTGATTAAAATAAACTCAAATTCAACCCAACCTAAATTGCCAAACGAAGGCATAATAATGAGGAACCTTCCTGTCCAAATTTTGGGTGAGAGGGAGTTGTTTTGTTCGTGGAGTCTATTACGAGTTTTATTTCGATAATTTAAATTATTTATTTTATTGAGTATTTTATATATTTTATTTATAAAAAAATAGGTCAATTTGATTATTATAACTTGTTTAATTTATCACATTTTTAATCAAAAATTTATAATTTATTTTTAAAAACATAATTTTTTTGACTAAAAACTTAATAAATTGAACAAGTTACCATTATTAGATCAACTTAATTTTTTGTATGAATAAAATATACAAAATATTTAACAAAATAAATAATTCAAATTATTAAAACAAAACCCATAATAAATCTTACATGCCCAAAGTGTGTCTTCCAATCTAAAATCTATACTAGAGGGCATCTTTCACCTAATAATAATTTCCATTGGAAGATGCCAAAGGACGCCATTATCAAATATTTTTTTAAAAAAATTTTTGTTTTTGTTTTTTCCCCTCTTTTAATGGAATTGTTAATGTATTTTTTAATATTGTATTTGAATTATAAATTAAAATTAAAATTTAAAAAAGAAAAAGAAAAAATAAGAGAACAATTTGACTAAAATTATACGAGTAAGAAATAATCTTCTCGTATAATCCAGTTGATCAAGCTCGCGCTCCTTCAAACGTCGTCGCTTTACTCCCTGAAAACACAAACGTGAGCTAGTTGGTAGGTGTGTGCCGGATATCTCTCTGATGCCTAAGTCAGCAAAATAGACAAATAGACAAAAGTTCTGTGTATTCGAGAATCAACTTCTTCAGCACTGATCCTAATCTTAGCTGAAGAGAGTGCAAAATTGGTTATTCCGGCCAACTGTGCTTACAGTGCTCCTAACTCACTAAAACAATCTTTTACTGAAGGAAACAACTATACTGAAAAGAAACTACTTGTTTTATTGAGAAAGAAAAAATTACAAATACTTGAAAGAAAAACTAAAAATAAAATAGTTTGAGATTGGCAGTGTTCTATAGCCTGGGAATGGCTTTGCCGTCTTTGTCTTCTAAGTGGTATGCTCCTTTACCAGCTAATCCAACCACTTTGTAAGGTCCTTCCTAATTGGGCTCTAACTTGCCATCTCTGGGTACCAGGGTGTTTCCCATTACTTTGCGTAGTACCCAATCTCCGATCTTGAATTGCCTTGGATGTACGGTCTTGTTGTATTTCCTAGATAACTCTTGTTGGTATGAGACGATGTGAACTAGTGCTCTTTCTCTTCTTTCTTCTGCAAGGTCGAGCTCTAATGTGATGGCTTCTCCATTTAAGTCTGGATCAAAATTTTCGCTTCGAATGGTGGAGAGGCCAACTTCCAGTGGGATTACTACTTCCATGCCGTAGGCTAAGGAGAATGGTGTTTCTCCCGTTAATCGTCGAGGTGTGGTACGGTAAGCCCATAAAACATGAGGAAGCTCCTCAGCCCACTTTCCTTTTAGTTTTTCTAACCTTTTCTTCAATCTATCCAAGACAATTTTGTTTGATGTTTCTGCCTTGCCGTTTGCTTGAGGGTATGCCGGTGTAGAGTTGTAGAATTCTATCTTGTACTGTTCACAAAAGCCTTTAAAGATTTTGCCGTCGAACTGAGTGCCGTTGTCTGATATTAGTGCCTTGGGTATGCCGAACCGAGTGATGATATTTTGCCAGACAAACTTCTTCACATCTTTCTCCTTTATTGATGCTAGTGCTTTTGTTTCCATCCACTTTGTGAAGTAGTTTGTTGCTGCGAGGAAGAACTTTCTGTTGCCGAGTGCTGTTGGAAGCGGTCCTACTATGTCCAAGCCCCACATTGCGAAGGGCCATGGACTAGTTAAAAGTAGAAGCTCTGTGGCTAGCTGATGTATTTGGTGTGCGAACTTCTGACATTTTTCGCACTTTTTGACATACTTCTCTGAATTTGCTTGCATGTATGGCCACCAATATTCTTACGAAATTGCTCTGTAGGCCAATGATCTTCCTCCTTGATGGCTTCCGCATACGCCTTCGTGTATTTCGAATAAGAATGCTTCCACTTTGCTGGGGTGGACACACTTTAGGTAAGGTCTTGTGAAAGATTTCTTGTATAATGCCATTGATGGGGAGAGCCAAAAACGCTGTGACTTTGCTTTTATTTTGTTGGCCTCTTTCTTTTCTTCCGGTAAGACGCCGTTTTTTAGGAACAATATGATGGGATCCATCCACGAAGGGCCTAGTTCGGCACAACATACCTCTTCTACTTCGGGTTCTTCAATGCTTGGTCTTGGTAGGTAGTTAATCAACAATGGATGAGGGATTGAGGTATCTGCCATTGAAGCAAAGCTTGCCAGTTCGTTCGCTCTACTGTTTTCTTCCCTGCCGATCTGCTCTATCCGCACTACTTTAAATTTATTGATCTCTTTTCTGATTAACTCTTGGTACTTAGCCATCCTGTCATCCTTTGCCTTGTAGTCACCTGAAATTTGTTTTACCACCAGTTGTGAGTCACTGTAAACCATTAATTTGGTAGCCTTCATGTAGGATGCTGATTTTAAGCCTGCTAGAAGCGCTTCATATTCTGTTTCGTTGTTTGATGCTGGGAAGCCAAGGTTGACTGCTTGCTCCACCACTAGGCCATCTGGTGAGATGAGAACTATGCCTAGTCCTGGACCGTGCCTGTTGGACGCTCCATCTACGAAGAGCTTCCACATCTCTCGAACGAATAGTTTCCAGCAAGTGGAGGGGTCAGATGATGCCTTGGGATCAAAAGTGTTGCTGGTGTTTTCTTCAAGGTCTATGTTTGTTGTTTGCCCCTCGCTATCTGATTGTACCAAGTCTTTATTTGTTGGTAAGTCTTGGCTTGGTGTAGCATGGTTTGCTTCGTCCTCCCATACTTTACTCTGGTCTTCCTTAAGGTCTGACTGGGTATCCTGCACCAGGGGTTGCGCTATTTTGGCGTCAACTTCCCACTCTAGTTTGGTTGTATCAGTTAGGTCGACTGGGCAGATATGATGACTTCCTAGGATGAATTCTGCGACAAAGTCTGCCAAGGCTTGGGCTTTTATCGCTGTTCTGGGTTGGAACTTGATGTCGAACTGTCCCAACTCGACTGCCCACTTCAAGACTCGTCCAGAAAAGTTCGCCCTCTCAAACAAAGCTTTTAGTGGAAAAGCCGTGAGGACGATTATTGTGTGGGCGTAGAAGTAATGCGACAATTTCCTTGATGCCATCATCAAGGCTAAGGCCAATTTTTCCAGCGATAAATACCTGGTTTCCGCGCCCAGCAATGTCTTGCTGACATAAAAGATGGGCAGATGTTGGATTCTTTCCGCTTAGACCAACATTGCGCTAATTGCGCGCTGCGAAACTGCCAGGTACAAAAATAGTTCTTCTCCAGTTATTGGGGTCACTAGCAGTGGTGGAGAAGACAAGTATTCTTTTAAACTTTCTAGGGCGCAGTCATATTCTTCATCTCACTCAAACTTGGCCTTTAATGCTTGAAAAAATGGTCAACATCTGTCTGACGACCGACTGATGAACTGGTTGAGTGCGGCTGCCATACCGGTGAGATGTTGTATGTATTTTACTGAGTTGGGCCTCTCTAGATCTTGAATTGCTTTGATCTGAGAAGGTTCTGCCTCTATACCTCGGTTGGTCACCAGGAAGCCTAGAAACTTGCCAGATCCTACGCCGAATGCACACTTGGATGCATTAAGGCGCAATTTGTGCTTTTTTAGGATCTGAAATATCTTACCTAGGTCCCTGAGATGGCCATTCTCATCCTTGCTTTTGACTACCATATCATTGATGTAAGCCTCCATTGTTCTGCCTAACAATGATTCGAATATGTTGGTGATCATCCGCTGGAATGTTGCCCCTGCATTTTTTAGGCCAAAGGGCATGACCTT